ATTTGGGCATGACACAATTTTTGTAATTTTGTCTTGAAAATAGGTTTTATTTGCTTTGTTATTTGTTATAGAATAACAAGAGAACAGGCCTCACGTTGCCATGAAACAGAATCTAAGTCGACTGTACAATTACTACTAATCCTCTGGCAATGGCTTTAATTTACAAACATTTCAAACAAGTCTTGATTGTTCAATTTAAAATCAGCTGTGGTGGTGCACACAAGCAAAACTATTAAAAAAAACATGTTTACATTTATAACAATACTTACAACTATAATCTATATGCAAAGACCACCACACAAAATCTAAAAAACAAACTTAAGTTTCCATTTATGATTATCTGAAGTTAGGAAAATTTACATTCAAATAAATATAACTGTCATTCAGACAATCAGAGCCAAATGTATAACCTATTTGCATGGATTGCATATGTTTATGTTTTAAGTGAGATATAAAGAATTTCTGACTCCTGACTTTAGTGATGTGTCCCACACTTTCTCACACAAACACAAACTTTGACCCACGTTTAGGATCTTGTCACTGTGTGTAAATTGTTTCTTCATCACAGGAAGATTGTCTGAGGTCAGCACATGTTGATGATGTTTTCTGTTTTTCTCTGTTTGTTGATCAATTATTAACTTTTAGCGCCCAAAATCAAAGCAAACAAGTAGTTTTCTCATCAGTTTCTTATCGCACTTTGATTTCACTTGTCAATCTCGATCCCTCGTTGTTCGGTGACGTCACCGCGCATAACGGGCGTGTTGACGACATCTGACGTGTCTCCGTCAACACAACAATGGCGGATGCCGTGGAGGAAGCTCTTCGGGGCAGCTGGTGAGACAATTTGTTGTTCAGTCAATATTTTCGGAGCCTTTGTCTCGATTGTCAGACAGTCGCGTCGGATTTTTGTTACAGATTTCCGTGTAAAGTAACTAAAGATGAGTTTTTGTGTTTAAAATAGTGTTGGAGTTTGGTGACGTTACTGCTTACCAGCTAGCCAGCTACATGACAATTAGCTAACCCGGTTCTGATAAATTACCGGTCGATAAATCTCAGACGGATAAAGTAACAGCTTTTAAGTCTGCTCGGTGACGAAGTCTACATTTTTATCAGTTTCTCAGCCTCAGTGGGAAGTTTAGTAGCAATGTTAGCCGGACAGCTAATATTTAGGCGGACAGCCGCTTCCCTTTAATCTACCCCAGCCTCACTCTGTTGTTCCAGTTTTATTTTACTCTGAAATATAGAAAAGAGTTTATAGAAAAGTGCTGGTTATATCTAAAAACTTTTAAAGCAGCTGCCATTAAGATGGTTGGCATCGTGAAAGAGGTCTTCATGTGTCAGATTAAAGGAAAAACCTGAACGATAGCCCTGCAGAGAGGGCTCTGCTAGCTCTGTTGATGTGAATGGTGCGTGTCCATTCAGATCTATCGTGAAATGTTTCTGCTTTGTTAAGAAAGATCTTTTATGTGACACTGCCATTTGTCATAGTGCACGGGTCACTGAGGAGCTCCGTGAGTATAAAAGTGACCTGGATTTTATACATATGTATAAATGTGTCTTTACAATCATCGGAGATTTTGAACAAATGCGTTAGACATTGTTCTTCTCCGGCTTCATCAAAACGTCAGATGAGGAAATATCTAAAAATGGTGTTCATCTCTTTGGAGATTTGGAGAACCAACACACAGATTCACAGGGAAGCTGTGAATGTCCTCTTTTATGATGTTGCTGTATTGTTTTCCTCTTGAGTTTGTCACCTGTCTGTATGCGGAGTTAAATTAACATGGATTAAAAAAAAAGATTAAGATGTAAATTAAGAGCAATAAACAACACAGGGCATTTAGTAAAAGCTGACATAATTTACATAATTACACAGATGTGAATAATGATTGAGTTAAATATGAAGTTAATAATAATGCATGTTGTTAACCCTGTTGCCTCACAGCGAGAAAGTCATGGATTTGAATCCAACATCTGACCCCGTCTTTCTTTGAGTTTGCATGTTCTCTGTGTGATTACTACTCTCGCTTCACCAGTTAACTGGTGTTTCTAAATTGCCCATAGGTGTAAATATGTGTGTGAATGGTTGTCTGTATGTCTTTGTTAGCCTTGCGACAAACTAGTGACCTGTCTATTGTGTACCCCACTTCTTGCTCTGTAACATACACTGCAGCCCCCTCGGGAAGATGGATGTATGAACTTAATAAAACGTAGTGCCGGACAGTACAGCACAATTTTGAAGATTGGCAGTTTTGTCGTTTATAGTGGTATTATTAGCAGGGGTGGGGGAAAAAATCGATACTGTGTAGTATGGTGATATTTTGTTTGCTAATAATGTATGGATACAGGGACAGCAGAAATCGATATTTTGTTACAAAAAAGGTTTTTGTGCTCTGACTTCAGAGCATGTTGATCCTTTTTCTGAGCAAGAATCCTGACATTCCTTCACTGTCCAAATGTGTTTAACTTGTTTTTGGCAGCAATAAACATGACAGTTTACTTATTTTAATTTAAGACATGTTTTATTTTAATTAAGTTTAAAACTTTTTTATTTAATGTAAAATTATATTTTGTTTTAATTTACTTTCAAATTCTTCAGTTGCTGAAGGGGCTGCATAGTTTTCATAAACTGCATAGTTCAGAATAGCTATAATTGTACCAGATGGTTGATTCAGTTAAGTTGGACTAGACTGTAATACAAACCGTTCAGTTTGTCAACAATAAAACTGAAATGAGAGAAAGACTGAGTGTGAGACTTTGATATTAGATAAAATAAATATTGATAAAGTTTACCTTTATGTACAGAATCTGAATATCGCAAAATATTTTTAAAAATTGCAATAATATCGTATCGTGCGTTAAGTATTGTGATAATATCGTATAGTGGGATGTATGGTGATTCCCACCTCTAATTATTAGTAATAATATTGTTTCTGCATCAGTGAGCCTTTGCATGGGTTTACTCTGAACCTTGGTGTAATAATTTACCTTAAAATGAACTCTTCAAATCTTATGTTTTGTTTTCAGCCTATGAACTTTTATCTTTATATTTTGTGGGATTGTAACTGTGCCGTTCGTTACTCTTCAGGGACCAGGATCTCATTGACGCTCTTGACTCTGGTGGCTCAGACATGGAGATGGAGAGGGGCACCATCCAGGTCCAGGAGCAGTCAGCTGAACACCGGGCCAAGATGTGGAAGGTGAGAACGTTGCAGCTGTTAGATTGTGGTTTCAAACAGTTATTAGACATGTACAACATACTTTGTACGTCTGTGGACAGAAGGCAAGAATTCTTACGTTAAGGTGTGAGTAGACTGGATCATCTCTTGTTGGCACACCCAAAGAAAAGACTTCAGTTATGTCTTACATCACATAACAAGAGTCAGTATTGTATGTCAAGCATGTGGATGACAAAAATGATGCTACTTATAGGTGACTGGTGACTGACTCGTCTTGGCTTCGCATGCAAAATACCAGCCTGTGAAAAGACACGTTCGGCTACACCCAGTTGTAAAGCAGCTTTGAATGGGATGTTTATTGTGTCTGATAATAGGCTGGTTGATAATATCATTAGGAGACCTTTTAGTCACTGTGTAAAGTTCAGAGAGCTTTTAATTTTACACCTCAGAAAATCGAATAATTTGGTTTATTATAAAAAAGTTCAAATAATGCTTAAAGTCAAATCAAACACAAAGTGTTTATCAGTGCAGGAGAGCAGATACAAGATTTCTTTTTTCACTTTAGGAAAACCTTAAACATTTTTGTTGTTTGTGTCAAATTCTGAAAACATTCTGACCTAAAAGTGAAGATTTGCACTTTCATTTTCAGATTCTTCAACTGCTCCATTAATCATTGTATAAGTCATAGACTATAAACTGAAATTCACTTGGGGCCACACGTGAAATGACAAAAACTATCATGGGCCAGACATTTACATTTTATTGATATGTTATATAATTGTTTATTTATTTATTTTTAAAGCTCAGCACTCCATTTACCAAAACAAAGTAATGGATTCTGAGTTTAAACAACCTGTTTCACAAGCCTGAATATAACAACTCTGTGGAGTGGGCATCTGTTTTGTGATAGCACATCAAAGCCATAATTCCTAGACCACCTCCTCACCAGTCACTTTAGCTCCTCTGGGAGTCCTGGGTCTGCCTGAGGGTCATGTCCTAGTTGGACATGCCTAAAACATATGACATGTCCAGGAGGTATTGTGGTCAGATGCCCAGATTACCTCAAAAAGCTCCCCTAGAGCAGGCGGCCTTCAAAAGGAAGAAAGCTCATTTCTACCATTTGTATCTGCAGTCTCATTCTGATCATAAGTGAGAGTGGGAACGCAGGTTGACCAGTTAATCAACTACATTCCCTTCATGGTCAGGTTTCTCTTTAACACAACACACTGGTTCAACCTTCGCATCAAAGCAGATGCTGCAATCTGGAGCGTTCACTATGGTCTTCTCATTCCTGCAGCTTCAACTTGATAACTCAGTGTTTGTGTGTTTGAAAAAAAAGAAAGAATAAAAAGTCTGTAATCGTGTGGTTTACATGTTACAGCCTGGAGGTATGAAAATGACTGCTCATAAAAAATCTAAAGATATCAAATGAACTTTCAAAGTTGTCGGTGAGTGAATATGGCTTCCCTAAGGGAGACATGAAGAAACGTATCTTTACCACTTTGTTACTTTCAAAACAAAAACATTATTTGCTTTAGCTGCGTGCCAAGTTCATTGAGATCTGGAGCCTGTTTTACCTGTTCATCGCTCTGCAGCTGTACTGGGGTAAACTAGAGCAGCGGTCTCCAACCTTTTTTGCGCCACGGACCGGTTTATGCCCGACAATATTTTCATGGACCGGCCTTTAAGGTGTCGCGAATAAATACAACAAAATAAAACTAGTACCGGTACTTAAAAAAAGAAGATTTATTCATAACACACGTGAAAAGACCCAGGAAAACCAAGTAAACGATAAAAACGATAACAAAATAACGCTGAAAACCGATAAAAACCCTGAAAACTATACATTTCACACCTGAGCTTCAACTCTCGCAGCCCGGTACCAAACGACTCACGGACCGGTACCGGTCCGAGGCCCGGGGGTTGGGGACCGCTGAACTAGAGGAAGAGATTTTTTTTTTTTATTAATTTAGTTTTTTTCTCTCAAAATGTTCCAAAAATAATATCAGCAGCTGCTACAATATTTTCTTCATGTGTATGAATTTGTTGTCCATCAGTGCAGTGAGACTTTGGCCACTTATAGCAGATCAGTCTTTATTTCCTGAATGTCAGGCCTCCTTTTCTCCCCATGCTCAGCAGTGAATCCTTGTTTTGTTTTTGCAGATTGCTCTCAATGTCTCCGGAAAAGGCGACAGCCTGGCTTCCTGGGACGGTGTCCTTGATTTACCAGAACAGAAGCTCATTCATAACCGGAGTCAGCAGCTGATCGGTGAGTAAATGTCGGTGCCTCTAAAAAGTTGACACAGTCCTGACTTTTGGATTTGCAGTGAGTTTCTCAAGCGTTTTCTGGCACATCCAACTTGAGAATAAATATTTACTTCAGTAAAAGTCGGTGCATTATTTGTGTCAGGAATTTTGCTCTATTTTGGTTTTCGGCTCCGTATCTCAACATTTAAGATCCACTGGGTTTGGCTGGTGAGGTTAAGCGGCTAAAATTCAAGAAAAAACATTCTAGGCTGTTTGAGTTTAAAGTTGGATATTTGTGGGGAAAAACAAGCTCGGCTTAGATAAGATTTTTTTTAATTAGGGATAAAATTCACATATTTGAACTCTTTGGTTTATTAACTCATAAAGCATGTTAAGTTTTATCTTTAAGTCAGAAAAGAAACTAAAAGCTCGTTTTCATTAAATAGAGCTGTTCTGGACTAATAGCACTGGTCTCTGTGTGCAGCTGGCTCTGAGACGACCGTCTACAAAAAACAAAGTATTTAGTAATAACATCGATCTGCTTTTTGCAGTTTATCTTATTGCAACTCTTGTCTGATATGATGCGCTGCAAATTGGCTGAATATGAGAGTTTGTGCCTGTGTGATGTTGGTGATCTACTGCTAAGACTTCTGAAGCCCTGTTGATCCTCCAGAAATGTTATGTTTGGTTTAACAATGCTTTCTTTAAAGTTTTAAATCTTCTCCCTAATCTCAGTTTCCTGTCATGTTCCTGTGAGTTTCCGATGTTGGTGTGGGAAGATACTAACGCTTCCTTGTTGAGGTAGCATTGTCCGCCCTCCATAATGCAAAAAAGCCTCAGTGGAGCAGCACTCTTGCTGCCGAAGAGATGCAGAGGAGTTTATTTACGATTTAGGATAGCCTTGCTTCCATACATCATGAATCATCTAGCCTGCTCTAACTTTGTACTTTTTCCCTTCTTGTTCAGTAGAATAGCTCCCCCCCTCCAGTCTTTGTCACACCCTCCTCTAATTTGAAATTCCAACCAAAAGTCCCGTCATTTATTTAAAGGGGTACGGAGCTGTGAGCAGGAACAGCTGTCACAAGTTTAGATGCTGACATGAAACTATGGGGAGAGATTCAATTGAATAGAAATCTGATAATAATGACATCATTTAATGCATCAATAGGAAAAAAAACTTGACCTATTTGGAAAAGACAACTAAAACTGCCGACCCCCTCCATGTGTCCCATGTTTAGACCAGCTGGCAGTGTCAGAGGACGAGAGGAGTGAAATGGTGTCCGACGTTGAGTCTGTCATCACTTTCTACTGCAAGTCGCGTAACATCACTTTCAGTCCTGAGCTCAGCTGGCCGCACCTGCTCAAACCGCTGCTGGGGCTTCATCTACCCCGGAGCGACCTCTACAACTGCTTCTATGCTATCATGAACAAATACATCCCTCGGTGAGTCATCTCAGCCTCCTTATCCTTTTCACCCCACTCACACAGACATGCAGGCTTGGACTGTAAAAGCTTTTCCGTTTCAGCGACTGTGTGCCCAAAGGCCGGCCCTTCCACCTGTACAGACTACTGCTGCAGTATCACGAGCCGGAGCTGTGCTCGTTCTTGGACACCAAAAAGATCACACCAGACTCGTATGCCATCAACTGGGTATGTTGCCTCATGTTAAATAAGTTTTACAACTTTTTTGCCCCATTTCAGAAAAAGATTCAGTCAAAAACAATTAAAGTCATACAGCTTCAATTTTGGTGAAATAAAAGTTGCTACAAGCATTTCTTCCCCTGCAGAAGTCATATTTGTTCACATACATTTACTCCATATTGTTTCATCAGCTATTTTCCACCTGTGCAGCTCTAGAGCTCAAGTAACACTGCTCTGCATGTGGCAAACGATGCGTCTGTGTTTGTGTCTGTTCCACAGCTGGGTAGTCTGTTTTCAAGCCACTGCCTTCCTGAAGTTACCCAGACATTGTGGGACTCGTACCTCCAGCAGGCGGACCCTTTTCTCATCTTCTTTCTCATGCTTATCATCCTCGTCAATGCCAAGTATGCAGCCAGAAAGATAATCCAGCTCGTGGCTGTTTGTGCTAGCTCTAAAAGTTTGTTTTTGTTTGTATCCTCAGAGAGACCATACTTACACAAGAGGGAGAAAGCAAAGAGGACATTATCAGTGAGTTTGTTCCTCTCTTCTCATTTGTACAGTTTTTGAATGTCTGTTTAATGTAATTAAATGTGGAAAAAAATTTCATCCCAGAAATGCTGGAAGCGTCTCCTTCTCTCCTGGAGTCCGAGGACATTGAAGACTTGTTTTCACTGGCCCAGTATTACCAGAGCAAAACCCCTCTGTCGCTCAGAAAGGTGAAGCAAATCAAAACTGAGCAGTGCTGAATATAAACAAAGAGACAACGGCAGCATCTAAAAAAACCTCATTGTTTGTTTCCCTTTGTCTGTTTCTGTAGATGAATCAGAATCTGTTTGGTAGCAGTTTGGTGGCGCTCAAAGAGGAGGACACTGACCTCAGTCAGGCGTTGTGCCTCCCTGTGTCTGTCCCTGAAATCCTGCAGGCAAACCAGCTGCAGCAGGTCAGTGACACTTTGAGAGGGAAATTATTAACAGCTCTCAAGTTTTTCCTGTGAGTTTAAGGAAGAAAGAGGATGTGAGGAAACTGAACTTTTTCTTCTTTTTTTAGGATGGGGTACGTTTCTTCGTGGTGGATTGCCGGCCTGCAGAGCAGTACAATGCTGGCCATCTGTCCACAGCCTTCCACCTGGACTCAGACCTGGTGAGGGATAGGGGCTTTAGGGATTCGTTGAAAAATATATTTGCAGTAAACGAATATAAAACAAGCTTTATGTCTTCTTACAGATGCTCCAGAACCCATCTGAGTTTGCACTCTCTGTGAAGTCCCTCTTGGAGACACAGAAGCAGTCTTTAGAGTCGGGTTCCATCGCCAGCGGAGAGCATCTGTGCTTCATGGGCAGCGGGAGAGAAGAGGAAGACATGTACATGAACATGGTGTTGGCACATTTCCTGCAGGTGAGCTGTGAAAGTGGGATCCATATAACAATTACGAACGTTTCCTTTAGATTTTTTCAAACTCTCAAAATCTGTTTGATTATGAAATAAAACGAACGAAGCAGAAGCAGGAAAGTCATTATAATTCATGCTTAAAAAAAAGTAGTAATCACTGGAAGTTTTAACTGGAAAAATGAGAATTGTGTGACCTTGTTTGGCAAAACAAATTCTTTTGTGATCTTTGTTTTGCAATATTATGGATGATGTTCTAGCAGATCTGCTCATTTCAAGCTTTCTGTTACAGAAAAACAAAGAGTATGTCAGCATCGCAAAAGGAGGTTTTATGGGTGAGTAGGAAAAGGACAAT